AGGCGGCCCGAGCCCCACTGGGCTGCAAGGAGCACCCGGTGGCTGTCGTCTCCCAGACCTCAGTGGTGGAGTGGCTGCTGGGAGCGCGGAGGGGAGTCGGGGCTGCGGGCCGTTGGACACCGCAGAAGCAGAGCGTGCTGATGGAGGGACCGAGTTCACGCTTTGGCGTGACATTCCATGTCGTGTCTGAGCCGTTGCAGGCATCAGTCTGAGCCCTGGACCTTTTTGACCCACTGTGCCTGGCTCCCGTGCACCTCGTCTGCCTGTCCCAGAGTGGGGGCCAACAGTAGGTTTCCCAGTAAATTCACAGAGCTCTTGCTTAGCTGGACTCCGCTGGTTCCTTGTTTAGCTCAGAGCAGTGCTCGTGAGTGATGTGAACAAAAGGAGCTGAGAGATTTTTTTGCTGGCAGTTGTGCTTCAGCTCCGTGGTTGTCCTGGGAAGGGAGTTAGTGGGAAGGGAATTAAGCTGTGCCTCTGCTTAGCTGGGAGGCAGTTGAGGATATCCAGGCCTTGCAGGAGGATGTTTCAAGGGAAGAATAGCACGTGTTTCTGATTCCACATAGGTGTGAATCCTCAAACCCAGATTGGATCGGCTTGGATACCACAATTATTTTGGAAAAAAGATGGAATGAAGAGGCTGATTTCTGTGGCTGAAGATGTTTGGGGGTATCTGGGTGGCTGCTGCAGCAGTTTTCTCACCTGCCACTGATATTTTGCACTTCTCTTTCCATATACCATGAGTAATTCTTTTCCTTGTCTCCCACAATTCAACACGCTGTCAAAAAATTGCTGTGGCTCCCCTCAGAGCGAGCTGCCTTTTGGTGGCCAGGAATCCGCTGTACTTATTTTCAGGAGAGTTCACAGGTGTCATTACAGGGTTTATTCCTATGAAATCAGTGCCAGCTTGACCTGCTTGGAGAAAGAAGGAATAAAGAATCAGCCCGAACAGTTATTTAGGTTTGTGTTCCTCTTACCTGCTGATTCCAGGCAAGCTTGCCGTGGAAGCGAGTGGGAAGGATTGTATTGCTTCCTACAGCAGGTGCCGTTCTCAGTGCTCAACAAAACCTCTCGTGTTTGTTTTCCCTCGATCCATATGCCGGAGCATTTCCTGGCTCGCAGACCAGGCTGTCAAAAACACCTGAGAATTATTTTTCTGCAGACTTGATTCTTTCAGCCGCATCGTTCCCCTGCTGCTTCAGTGTATCGGGATTCAGCTTTTGTGTCTGAAGCCAACCCTCCTGGCACGGCACAGCTCAGGTGGTGGGGACATCGACCTCGTACATGTGGGACGTCATGTTCCGCTGTGGCATGTAGGTTAGGGGCTGAAAGTTTGGGCTGGTTACTACTGGTGTCAGGGAGCATAATGCATCCAGGTTTTTTTTTGGTGGGAATGTCTGGTTCACAGCTTCTTTTCTGACTTTCACCGTGATTAGGAACACTTAGATGTGTTTGGGCATGGTTATGGGTTCAAGCACTGGTGGCCTGGAGACCGTTAAGAAAGAATTCTTGTTCAATGTTCAGTCTGTAAGTCAAAAAGGCCTTCTCAGTCCACGTGTTGCTAAAATTGCCAGCTGCCTGCTGAAGTTTTGGGGAAACGTGTGGTTTCAAGCCCAGTGGTTGTGTTTAGCTGTCACTGCTTCACTCAAACAGAGTAATCTGACTCAGATACACTAGTTTGGATTCATTTGATGTCTCGGAAGGAACCTGGATTACTGGATTAAACAGACCCTTGGTAACAACTAATGAGCCTTTTTGCTGTCATCATTTCGAAGCGCTGTCATATAAAACCTTACCAGTCTGCAGCCTTCTGAAAAAATCTTGATTATAACCATTTTTGTCTTCCTTCCTCCCCTCTCTTTCAACCCTAGACTCCGGGCTGGTCGTACCATGCGTGTCTTACGAGCTTCACAAAAAGCTGCTCTCGGTGGCCGAGAAGCACGGGCTGACTCTGGAGCGGAGGCTGGAGATGACGGGAGTGTGTGCGAGTCAGATGGCCCTCAGCCTCCTCGGGGGACCCAACAGGTAAAGCTGCTGTTCCCGTTCCCTCTGCTGTGGATTTGCTTCCTCTCAGCAGAGCTCAGCTTGTCTTGTTCCGCTGAGTGGGGTGGAGGTAAAGATGCTGAGAGGTTGCTTTTGTGGTAAATGTCATATGGTACCTGCTGCCACTTGCGCTGGTCCCTCAGTGGTCCTGCAGCTGGAGGCAGCTGTCACTCTCCTTCCTTCCTTGCCTCTAAAAGAAAAAACCATCCCAATGCCATGCAGGCCTGTGTTTTAGCTCCTATATCAGCCTGTTTCCAAATAATCTTGAAGACAAGCGTGAGGATGAGGCTTCTGAGGTGGGAGGAAGACTAAGGGCTTCTTTTTGGCTCCTGTCTCCCAGTAGCAGAAGTGCCTCTTGGGTCAAAGACAAAACAGACAGAGCTGAGATTTTTCCCTCTGCTTACTGGGCGTTTTTTCCGGGAACTGAGCTTTGCACGGGTGTAACCCCAGGCGGATTAAAGCATTTCAGAATTTCTGGCGTGCTGCTCCTTTTTGCAAACGAGTAAACCTTTCCTTGGTCGTTTTCACGTGTTACAGTTTGATGGCGTCAAAAAAAAGCAAAAGTCAGCTGGTGCAAACAACGTGCTGCTTAGCTTTTCACAGTGCTAAGATAGCTTTCCAGCATCTACACCTAAACTGGGAATATCCTGCTCTTTTGGAGAGCCTGATTCGCTGGCGGGTTCGGAGGGCACTTCCTGCTCTTTGCATGACTATATGTGCTGACTCTTTTGAAGAGGTGCACTCTGTGCCTGCACTTACCATCGTAGCTGATGTGGGCAGATGATGGCACATGTATTTTTGTGTCGTGGGGAGGTGCTCGGAATTATTTGCTCTTGAAATGGAAAGTAAGCCTTTAAATCTTCACCTTTTTATTCACTAGTACTTTTCCAGGACCTGTTTGAGAGCAGCAAGTGGTGACATACCAGGCAGCACTGACCCTATCAGCTGAAAAATCCTACTGGAAGCCACCCCTGATGGCTTGCAGGCTGTTTAAATACATCAGTTTTATTTTGCAGTTGATCCTTGGGGAGTAGAAATTATTTTTCTTCCTTTTTTTTTTAACTGCGGCTCTGCTGATGGAGTAAATCACCCCGTGTTTTTAAGATTGTGTAGTTCACTTTCTTCAAAACTCAGAGAGGCAGATAAAAAAAAGCCTCCTAAAAGTGAAATCGCACTGAATTCAAGCTTCTTACATGAGCAGTGAAAATGCCCCCCAGATCTGAATGTCCAGGTTGGCCGCATGATGAACTGGGATAGACTGGGACCTTGTGTGCTCTGCTGCGGGTGCAAGGAGATCTTGAAGGGAACCTGCAAGCAGAGCAGCTCTCTAATGTCAGAGCTACAAAAGGATGTGGGTTCCTTCTCGGAGGCAACGGAACATTTGCAAAACACCTGTAAATTTGCATTTTACTGATTTTTTTTTTTTTTAATTTTTTTTTTTTTCCTCTTACAGGAAGGAGGTAAGAGATTCTTGGGTTTACTAAGTGCTCTTTTGTCTGTGTTGTAGGCTGAACCCAAAGAATGTGCATCAGCGGCCCACGGTAGCTCTGCTGTGCGGCCCCCACGTGAAGGGGGCTCAGGGGATCAGCTGCGGACGGCACCTCTCCAACCACGACGTCCACGTCATCCTTTTCCTACCCAACTTCGTCAAGATGCTGGAATCCATCACCAACGAGCTGAACCTTTTCAGCAAGACACAAGGCCAGCAGGTGTCCAGTGTCAAAGGTAAGAAGAGAGTGAGAAGCAGAAATGCCCTCTGCTCTCCTGGCAGCTCAGCTCCCCAGTACCTGCCCGGTCTGGTGGCACCATCTAGTGGCACTGCCATAGGCAGGTGGCTGGTCGGAGGCTGGCGGGACCGCAGAGACTCGAGAGGTTTGACAATGGAGCAGTTGTGCTGGTGCAGACGTTTCCTGTATGAACAAACACGGAAAAGCTGCTGTATGGATGTGAGTCAGACCAGCCATGCTCTTAGGATAAGGGCCTTCCTTGTTCAGCACATCGAAACTGCAAGTAAACGAGCATCCAGCTGCTGCTTCAAACCCAGCAGGCGGCTTTGCTGAACTAGTCCCAGAGGCTGTCAAAATTCAGATCTCTTACCGTGCCCTAGAATAAACTGATCCTCCATCTTCCGTGAGAGCTGCCTTCTGTTTGTCGTTTCACCAGCAGGATTTTCAAACCTGTTTCATTTAAATAAGGAGAGACAAACCTGGGAATTAGGGCACTGCACAAGGTTTTGAGTTGTGGCAGGGTGGGGGGCTGTGCTGGCTCTTATAAAAGAGGAGTCCTTGCACTGAGGACTTTGTGGTCCGTCAGGTAAGAGGGATGCAGCAGATGTGGTACAGAACAGGTGAGCGCAGCGAGACCGACGGAGCTCAGTGGGGCAGGAGCTGCCTTTCTGTAGCAGAGGTAGTCAGCGTGTTCCAGAAAACCAGGCCTTTTTTTCAGCTCGTGGTCTATAAAATGGTCCTTCTATAACAAGGAGTCCTTGCACTGAGGACTTTGTGGTCCGTCAGGTAAGAGGGATGCAGCAGATGTGGTACAGAACAGGTGAGCGCAGCGAGACCGACGGAGCTCAGTGGGGCAGGAGCTGCCTTTCTGTAGCAGAGGTAGTCAGCGTGTTCCAGAAAACCAGGCCTTTTTTTCAGCTCGTGGTCTATAAAATGGTCCTTCTATAACAGAGAGAGAGCACAGCTGCCTCCCTGGGCTGCCTGGGCTAGTGAGCCAGCTCGGCAGCGGCATCTGAGGCTGCTCAAGTGCTGACCACTCGATCAGATTTTGTACCTGAGAGTCTGAGAATGTTCTCCAGAGTGCTAAAGAGCTTTTAAATATTGGTGTCGGTGTCTGTGGCAGAAGGACAGTGATAACAACAGGTAAGGCCAGACTGTTTGCGGTGATGCTGTGAGTGCTGGAGAGGAAGAAGAGAGAAAAATGTGCCGGCAGCGCAAGGAGGGGAAGGCTCTGAGCCTTAGTTCGTGGTTTCAGGTTGGTTCTCAGCGCTCAACAGTGTTTGTGTTTCTTTCAGACCTCCCAGATACCCCTGTTGACCTAGTGATCAACTGCCTGGATTGTCATGAAAATGCCTTTTTGAGAGACCAGCCTTGGTACAAAGCGGTTGTGGACTGGGCCAACCAGAACCGGGCACCCGTCCTCAGCATAGACCCTCCGATAAACGAAATGGAGCAAGGTATTGATGCCAAGTGGTCGCTGGCCCTGGGCCTGCCCCTGCCCCTGGGCGAGAGGGCAGGGCGTGTGTACCTCTGTGACATTGGCATTCCCCAGAAGGTCTTTCAAGAAGTGGGAATAAACTACCACTCGCCCTTCGGCTGCAAATTCGTCATCCCCCTGCACTCCACTTAGAGCCCATCCAGCCACACGGCTCTGAAGGGAGAGAAGAGAGGAAGAGGAGGTCTGTCAAAGAAGCTGTCCAGTGGATCCTGACTTGTAAACTCGTGACGCCTTAAGGATGTGAAGTTCTGGAGAGTTTTCCTTCCAGAAGAAACATTGTGTATTTAAAAAAAAAAAAAAAAAAAAAAAGAATAATCATAAAATGAAACAAAAAAAAGGAGGAGGAAGCGAATGTTCCTGCAAAGCTGTTTTCGTTTTCTCGTGCCATTGTATGAAGGAACACGCAGGAAGACGGTGTCCGTCCCTGGTGAAGGTGGCCGTTGTTGTCCAGGCCTGGCCAGGAGGCTGTTTAGTGAGGGGTGTACGCAGAGGTGGCACAAGTGATGGGTGATTTGGAGACCTGAGATGTGTTTCTCAGTCCCTCTGGGTGGATAGACCCAGCAAAGGTGCCCCGGTGGGAACAGCACTTCTCAATTGTGTAGAAATACTTTTTGTTGCAGGAGGGAGGATTTGGGTTTGTTCTGTTGTTCGTTTTGACTCCTCTCTCTCTTCTTTCATGTTCCTGAGGGCAGTTGTAGCTCGTTCTCCCTCCTGGGCCCTCCAGCTCCTCAAGGAGAGCATTCCCTCTTTGGAAAGCTTGAGTCCAGAGCCAGAAGCTCCCAGGTTGCCCGTGCTCTGGGAACACTGATGTCCTCATCTAGGCCTTACTTACTTGTATACTCCGTTGGCTTTTTGTTTGTTCACTTGGTGAAGCCCAGGTGTGTGGGAGCGGGGCGTGTTTTGGAAAAGAACTTTTCCAGGATAGTTGTGGGTTGTTTTGTTGTTTTTTCTTTCTGGCACAGCGAGTGGCTGAATCAGGGAAAGGATGGTGAAGCAGGGCAGTGTTGCTCTGAGTTTGTTGCATGGTGTATGGTGCAGGTGATGTTTGGGTAAGTTCCCCCAGTGCTTCCAGTAACCCTCCTACACTCCGTGTGGTTTGGGAAGTAGGTCACGGATCTGCTTGTTCCCTTTGGACTCGAAGTCTGTGCGCGCGTGTGTGTGTGTGTGTGTGTGTGCACCCACGTGCTGGGAACCAGCTTGAGGAAGGACTTGGGTCCTCAGCTCACGCGGTCCTGTTTGCCTGCAGGATATGGTGGCTGCAGGAGAAGGAGAGCTGCTGCCTTCCTGGAGGGGTATGGCAGGAGGTTCTGGTCGGAATTACTGTAGGGGATCTGCCCCACGTTGCCCTTGTGCTGCACTCACTTCCCACGTATCTTCTCCTGTGTTCATTTTGTTGGCCTGGTGGAGTCTTGGTGCAGTGCCTAGAGCAGGGACGAGCTGAGAAACCATCAGCTAGCCGGCTTCGAGAATCCATCCTGCTGGCTCTGTGCGTCCTCTCCGAAGGCTTCGGGCCCAGTAGGTGACCCAGGGAAGGGCTGAAGCTGGAGCGGCGCAGGAGATGCTGTAAGGACCAGCTGTTCCTTTCGGAGGAACGGGGCGGATGCAAGGCAGGGGCCCTGTTCTGGCAGAGGGGTGCTCAGCTCCCTGCGTGCTCCCCGTGCTGTGAGCGTGGGCAGTGCTTGAAGCTCTGCTGCTCTTCTGCTACCTTACCTGTCCCCAGAGCTCCTGCAGGTACCGAAACCGACGCTGTTCTGGCAGCTGGGAGAGCTTCAGAGCTTCAAACGGTGCCTTTTCTCCAGGGGAGCCGGATCCTTTCTGAGGCTGAAGCGCGGGAACATGTGGAAATGGTCACCTGCTGTGGTAGCTGCTCTGCTAAGCAGGTAAAGCCCCACTTAGCAAACCTGTTGACCCACTTGTGCTCTGAGGGGTGAGGATTTACAGCTCAGGCACTTGTCTTTCATCTGCTTAGAACAAAGGCCAAGCAGATCAGAGGAGGAGGGCAGAGACCTCCCCGCTTGGAAAGAAGCAGTTGAGTAACTAGTATTGCCTGGAAGTGGGGAGTGATGGGGGAAGCCAGCCCGTGAGGACGGGAGGCTGGTGAGCAGCCACCAGAGCTCTTTTCCCCCTGCCAAACTGCCTGCCCCTTGCCATATCTACCTCAGCAGGACCAAGGGCTCTGCCCCTCTCGGTGTCTGGACCCCTGGTTGCCCCCAGCTTCTTTCCCCGCTGAGGGCTGGGCGACTGAATCGCGTCCGCTGGCTTACGCCGAGCTCGCCTGGAGGGGCTCGGGGCCGCGCCAGTGCGTGTGGCTCTGCCCTCAAGCGGTTCCTCTCCCGTAGGAAAGGCAAAGCCAAGCTGCTGTTCCTCAGGTGAGCCGTGTTTCAGCTGGAACCGTGTCACGCAGCGAGCTGCAGTTCCAACCCGGCCGCGCTGGGACGGGGATAGCAACGGGGCTGGTTATTTAAAACACAAACGCGAGGCGTCCCTCTGCCTTTCTCGTTTCTTTGGCTGTTTCAGCTTCGTCTGATCTTTGGGTTAAAAAAAAAGGGGGACAGCCATCCCTTGGTCGTTGCTGTAGCCCCCTTCTTTTCGCTTTCCTTGCTTAAGAGACCCTACTGTTTCAATTTCTGCTTGCTTGGAGCCAGGCTGCAGGCTCTTCTCACCGCTCCTGCCGATGAAACTGTCGATCGTACGCCCCGAGCAGGTCCTTTTTCCTGCCTCTGCGCTGCGGTGCCGCTGGCTGAAGTTACATGCCCTGAAGGGCACTGAACCAGGTCAAGATGTTTCGGGGTTTTTTTTTGCAGGGATGGCAGCTGGGATCAGGTCTGGACTCGCTCCAGGAAGCACTATGGCCCCGTGCAGCAATAACCCTATTTTTAACCCCATGTTTCAGAAAAAAAAAAAATAAAAAGCGAGCAGTGTTGCACAACAGGAGGGTGCAAGCCCTCACGTAAGGAGAGGGAGCCCTGCACAGAGCATTTTGGGCAGCTTCAGGCTGTGCTTGGCACAGTTAAACTTCACGGTGTGCTCACTTTCTGGAGGTGAGAGTAGAGTTGGGGACAGGGCTGTACTTTCCCTCGGAGACAAAGGTTTACTTGAGGAAGTACCGGCCTCCCTCACGTGAAACACATCTCGGGTGCAGGTGTGAGCTCTTCCAGAGCACTCCACAGACCTGGAAAGGGCTCTGGGTCCCTTCTCCTTCCCCCTTCCCCCACCTTGCCAGGGTTAATTCAAAGAATGGAACATGTTTATTACCTGTCCCCACCCTTACCCACTGTTACAGGAGCTGCCCCCAGTGCTGCTCTGGTCACTGACGTGTGAAGATCACTGCACTACGTCACCGCTCGCTGTTCCATTTGTGACCCAATGTTTGTAACGACTCATTCCCACCACTGCTGGGGGATGTCCTGAACAATAAAGTGCAACTATTCCTGTGTGCTATTTGTGTGCGGCTATTGATTGGTCTGCCACCCTTCCAGAGCCTGACACCACCACGGGAGCAAGGGCAGGGACCAGGGAGGGTCTTTCACCCACTCAGGAAGCAAAGATTCCTGGTGCTTAGGAATTGAGTTTTCCAACCGCTCCATCCTCCTGTGCAGAAAAAGCAAAGCTGGGAACGAAAGAACCCTACACCTGCCTACGAGGGAAGTATCAAACAATAAGAAACACTTTTATTTTAACTTTACAACATATAAATAGACAAATCTGTGCTTTCTGATGTCGCTTTTCTTCCCCCTCCCCTCCCCAGGGTCTTTATGGCAGTGCCCCAGCCCCTCCGAGCTCCGAGAGGAGGGGGCGAGCGGGGCCGAAGCCCAGAGCCTCTGTACAAATCCCCAGCTGTCATCTGCTCAGGTCCCGGCTGCTGCCCCGGCCGCACAGCATCTTTTCCTCTGCGGAGAGGCCGGCAAAGAAGGGATGCAGGAGGGCTTCCGAGAACGTGATCCTCCGGGAAGGGTCGAATTCTAACATCCTCCTAATCAAGTCGAAGAGCTGCGCGTGCTCCAGCGAGTCATGCAGCATGTATGTCTGAAAGAGAAGGGGGGGTGTAGGACAGGCACTGAACCCTGGAACCTCATTTTGGGATGCACAGCGAGGTAACAGCCGTCTCCCACCCTCAAGTACAGTGTTCCTCTGGCCCTTGTGCTGGCTGCATTTCCTGGGGCCTACAGGAAAGCTGGAGGGAGGGACTTTTTCCAAGGGCATGTAGTGACAGGACATGGGGCAATGGCTTTACACTGAAAGAGGGGAGATTTCGATTAGATCTAAGGAAGAAATCCTTCCCTCTGAGGGTGATGAGGCACTGGAACAGGTTGCCCAGAGAAGTTGTAGATGCCCCATCCCTGGAGGTGTTCAAGGCCAGGTTGGATGAGGCTTTGAGCAACCTGGTGTAGTGGAGGGTGTCCCTGCCCATGGCAGGGGGGTTGGAACTAGATGGTCTTTGAGGTCCCTTCCAACCCAAACCATTCTGTGATTCTATGACAGCGTGGGGCTCTGCGAAAGCCAGTTACCCCCAGCAGGACTAACGGGAAGTCCCACCTCTAAGCCCCGCACAGCAGTTCCGCCTGCGACACAGCCAGCCCTCCACCTACCCGCAGGGGCTTGCAGTTCTCCTGGACATATCTCCCATCGGACGTGTTCTCATCCCATACCAGGTTCCCCTTATAGAAATATTTTTGCTTCCTGGAGAGGAAAGGTGGTGTTCAGTAAGGCCACGCGTGGGACACGCATCCAGCACATCTCCCATGCAGTAAAGACCCAGTGCGAGGACGGAATTGGTATCCTGAGTAATTAGCCACAAAACAGTTGACTGGACTGTCTGGAGTTCAGGAAGAAGGTTCTTACCGAGTTTTGTGGATCATGTGAGATGGTATTGGCCCGAGGATTTTTTCCATCATGACAAGATGCTCGCGATTCTCATGGGTCTGCAAAGGAAAAGAGCAACAGTGTGTTAATTCCGAACCGGGAGATCCGATGACTGAAGTCGTGTCACCTCTACAAGCACAGGAGCAGAAGAGACAAGCCTCCGGCAGGAACGATGCGGCTCCTGTCCACCTCTACCTCGTCTCTTGGTTCTCCTGTTCTTCACAGGCACGGTGAAGAAACCAAAAGTGATCTGAACCTTGTCCTTCCAGCAAGGCATGAGTCCTCAGACCGTGCATTTTCCTGGGCTTATTTTCAAACTCGGCTGCTGTTTTTTAGTGCCTGGTCTGTGTTTCCATTCCCTTCCCCCGAGTTGGAGCCCTTTTAGACAGTTCAAGGATTCTTAGGGTACA